CAGAAGGATCATTGTGAGTTAGTTCAAGGCTGGCCTGCCTCAAGGAAAAAAAAAAAAATCAATCTACCTATAGTTATGGTTTGTGTCTGGATAGCCCCCCTAAAGCCTCAAGCAGTCATGACGGGGGCGGGCTTTTTGGAGGCAGCTGAATCTAGGATTTGTGATTGATTCATGGTCCAATGCTGGGATTAAGAGTATGAGAGCTACACCCATCCTGGGGGAGGTAGCCTGCATACAATATAAAGGACAGAAAGGGGTCTTTGTCATTCTATCTCTCTTCTCTCCCCTCCCCTCCCTCCCTCCCTCTTTCTCTGTCTCTCTCTCTTTCTCTCTCTCATTACTTTTGCTGTCTTCCATCACCATGAACTGTTGCCCTCTGCCATTGTGCCACCCTGCCTTGGAGCCAGCCAATATGGACTGAAACCTTTACAAACTGTGAACTAAACAAACCTTTCCTCCTTTAACTTTGGGTGTCCAGCATTTTGTCTCAGCAACAAGAAAAAAGTAACTAAGAGAGAACTTGGTACTAGAGAAGTAAGGCCGTTGCTGTGATTACACCCGACCATGTGGTTCAGGAGCCTTTCGGAATGGCTTTGGGAAGAGTTTAGAAAGGTTCAGAGATACTGGCTAAAAAAGTAGAGCTGGAATGCCTTAGGCTGTTCTATATGGGAGACTCTGGTCAGCACTCAAAAGATCAGAAAGCTTGTTAAGACCAGGCTCGGGAGGTTTCTGCTGGGAAGAACTGCACTGGCTGGTGGACTCCAGACAATGTTTGTTATAGCTTGGCAGAAAGTGTGTCTACATTTTGCTCATGTCCAGAGACTTTGCCTGAGACAGATTAAGTAAGGTGAACTAATTAATCTTGTAGAAGAAATTTTAAGGCAGTCAAATGTTGAGGCTGTGGCATGGATACTGTTGGGGGCTTTTAGCCAGATCTATTTTGAGAAACAAGAGCAAAGAGCCCAGCAGAAAGAATGAATGTTGTGAGTTTGACCAGAAAGAAAGTTCCAGTAAAGCTGTGCACTGCAAAGATAGAGCTCAGGAGATCCTGATTGCTGAGGAGCAGAATAGAAAAGATGGCCTGAGGGTATAACAAGAAGCAGCAGGACTCCACCCTTTGCAGCCTCAAAATTGCAAAAGTAAAAGACTTTGCTTTGAAAAGAAAACCCCATAGTACCATGTTCCACAATGGTGGTGGCCTAGAGAATCTGTTCCTCAGAATTTGATTCAGAGTCCTCAATGATCCTGGCACTGGATCCCTACAGCCAAGAGAAAGAGAAACCTAGCTACTGCTCCACCTGCAGACCTTGGCATCATCCATATGGCATTGCTTTTAGGTGCATGCAGTTAATGCAAGAGTTGTGGGGTCGGGAAGGCTTCCACCCTGATTTCAGAACACCTGGGAGGCCAGGCAGTATGCTCCTGAAAGAGCTGTATATGAAGCTATGAGTGTGAATCCAAAGGTCCAGTGGAGACCCCAGAAGTTTGGAAAAGCCAGGAACATGGACTGTGTGAGGCAAACTGCAGGAGGAAGCAGAGCAGGCCCAAGAGAGAAGCCATGGGAACTACAACCAGCAGCAGTGCCACAGGGACACAGCCACCCAAGCCACTCGAGTTTACATCTTGCCACAGACTGCCTCAGATGCTGCACATGGAACTATAGGACTTAATGTTTGCCCTGTTGAATTTTGGTCCCACTCCTTTGTATTCCCATTTGTTACTTTTGGAATGAAAATGTTTACCTTGTGCCACTGAATGCTAGAAGTGTTTAACTTTCTTTTTATTTGTATAGGAGCTCACAGCTAAGAGTTTGCCTTAAATCTCAGAGGAGACTTTTGACTTGGACTTTTCAGCAATGGTGAAACTGTTAGGACTTTGGCAACTCTTAGAGATGGGCTAAGGGCCTTTTTCATAAAGGGATGTGCATGAGTCTTTTGGGGATCAGGAGTAGAATGTTATGGTTTGTGTCTAGATGTCCCCACAAAGTCTCATGCAGACATGGGGTATTTTTAGAGGTGGCTGAATCTAGAGTATATGATTGAGTCATAGTGCAATGCTGGGATTAAGGGTGCTGGCATTAAGGGTGGGTGATTGCTGTACCAGTCCACTGACTGGATTGGCACCACCCTAATCCCCATAGCCTGCATACAATATAAGGAACGGGAAGAAGCTTATCTTGCTCTCTCCCTTCTTGCTCTTGTTGCTTTTGCTGTTTTCTACTGCCATGAACTGTTGCCCCTCTGCCATGTGCCACCCTGCTTTGAAGCTAGCTGATTATGGACTGAAACCTCTATAAACTGTGAGCTAAATAAACCTTTCCTCCCTTTAACTTTGGGCATGAGGTATCTTGTCTCAGCAAATGAGAGAAAAAATATGGTCTAAAAGCTAACATTACTTTTTTTTGGTGGGGGAGGGGTTGAGACAGAGTCTCACTATGCAGTCCAGGCTGGACTTGAACTCACTAAGTAGCCCAGACTGGCCTCAAACTTGAGGTAAACCTCCTGCCTCAGCTTCCTGAATGCTGGGATTACAGGCATGCCCCACCACCACACCCATCGAAAAGCTAACAGTATTTTAACTTTGGGTGATTTCAATATTTACTCTATACTTGGTCATATTGTCTATGCATTTGGCATTAGTATTCTCTCATCCATAACCCCTAGAAATAATGCTCTTGGCTAGCTTCTACCTCTTTACGATTCCTTTTTTCTTTTTTCTCTCTCTTTTTTTTTTAAAGTACCAGGAATCAAACTCAGGACCTTGAGTTTGCCAGGTAGGTGCTGTGCCACTGAGCTATACCCCCAGACCCCATAACTTTGGTTTATAAATCCATTTTTTTTCTATATATAAGTTAAATGATTGATGAATTAAAAGCAATTATATTGTAATTCTGTGATGGCAACAATTGGAATAGGTAAGAAAAGAACTGTTAAAAGAGCATAGTTTTAGTATGTTACTGAAGTTAAACAAAACTAAAGATGAAAATTCCTTATGAAAATTGGTTTAAAAAAACTAAAAGAAAACATCAATAAATTACTAGCAAATCTAACTCAGCTATATTAAAACTTGCATTATATACCATGACGAGGGGGGTTTATACCCTGGAATGCAAGGAAAGCTAAATATAGGGAAAAATAATCAAAGCTGATACACCACATTAGCAGACACAGGGGGACATACATAACCATGAGGAGAAAAAAAAAAAAAAAAAAAAACCCACTTATCAATATTCAGTGCCTGTGGCAATTAAAACAGTAACACTCAACAAACTAGAAAAAACTACCTCAATATATAAATAGCATTTAGTAAATACAATGAACATCCTACTCATTAGTAAAAGTCTAAAAGCTTTTGCTCTGAGAAACAAGGCAAAGAAGCCTGGTTATGTCTCTGCTGTTCACCCCAGCTCTGAATTCTAGTTGGAGGGAAAGGAGGGTGAGTGGGAGGGGTAGTCTTTATCCAGTTGTCTTCGTATGACTTATGCACAAAGAAACCCAAAATATTTTACCAAAAACTATTAGAACAAATTAAGCAAAATAGCAGGATATGAAGTCAACACTCACAAATATGTTGTATTTCTTGTTTGTCTGTCTGTCTGTTTGTTTTGAGACAGGGTCTCACTAAACAGTTCAGGCTGGCCTTGAGCTCACTTTGCAGCCCAGTCTGGTCTTGAACTCGCAAAGATTCTCCTGCCTCAGCCTTGCAAGTGCTGGGATTACAGGCATGCACCACTACATCCGGCAATACGTTGTATTTCTATACACCAACAACATATGATATGAAATGAAAATTACAAAACCAAAACAATTTTGTTGTGAACTCAGAAACAAACAACAACCAACACCACTACCTCAGGAGAACAGAGGCTTTAGAATAAATAAAATATTCTGGGCATGGCCCAATCACATCAACATAAAGATCTACTTCCAAGTTTTAAATATTATATTACAGTTGCCCCAAATCTCTTCCTGTTTTGGACAATCTCCTCAGTACTCTTGCCTGACTTACATTCAGGGGAAATCATTCTTTAATTCATGTAGTGCTGTTAAGCAATCCACTCCTTGTGTCATCTAAGTGCATTTTTTCTGGCTAATTGCACTCTGGGCAGCCAATGATGTTCCCCACTAATGATTTCCAGACTTTAGCTCGTCATCTAAACTCATCCTCCATTTATATCAGGCTTCACTCACTTGCAAAGTTATTTAGCACACCATCGTTGCCACCCAACAAGTCACTACTAACATGTTTCCAGGCGAAGGGGGCCCTGAACCTGCCCTTGAGGATCTCTCCCCATGAACTGCCTCTGTGCCTTTGCCCGTCTCCTAACAACACTGGTTATGAAGCTGCCCACCCACACATCTACTCAGCTGCCATTTCTGCTTTAAGTGTCTCACACACAGGTACGATGCTGACTGTGGCATCCTAACCCACAAGTCCAATGAGCCCATCAAAGATAGATGCAACAAAAGATAAGTTGTGACAACTTGCTCTTCTAGAAACCCATGCTAACTTCAGTGATCACTGCTTTTCTCCTTGCTCCGTCAAAAGGAGTACAGCACCACTGTGCTTAAGGAAAAGTATTTGACTTCTTAATTTAATAATAAGGATGAAAATAGAAGTCTCTCATGCTTAAGTGACAAAAACATTATTATAGCTCCTCACTTAATAATGTATGTAATATTTACTGTTAACATTTATAATACCAGCAGATGGTACCACTTTGGCCTAAAAAGATAAATTTCAGATTTACTTTCAATTATTAAAATTTCTCCATTCAATTTGACATATATTTACATAAGTCTCCACTTATGAAGCAGACATGCCTAGCAGAAATGCCTCACATAACAAGCCTCCTGCTACTAACGAGATAGGAGGTGCTTGGCGATGGGTGGTTTGGCCAAGTGAGGAAACCCACTTTGGGCACAGCTAAGCACAGATACCACAGCCATTCTGCTGCTCCCAATCTGCCTCCCAAAACCAGAATGTCCAACGCTTCTTACCAACTGCACTTCACCGAAAGCTCCTCTCCCGATGACTTTCACGACATCATAGTCTTCTGCCTTCATCTGCAGGCCTCGGACTTTTTTCACAACTTTCTCATCTACAATAAAAAGTTCACCATATTTGTAATAGGAATCATCATATTTATTAGCAGCATTTGTAAACAAATTTTTATTTCCACAAACTGGACTTAGTTGTTAGCTAAATCTACTATTGGTCTTTAAAGGCTCCTATTCAAACCTCTCAGATTGTCTGGAAAGCTAAGACAGGATGACTGCAATTTGAGGCCAGCCTGGGAAACTTAGCAAGACCCTGGTCTCAAAATTAAAAATTTGAGCCAGGCATGGTAGCACTCTAGAGGCTGAAATAAGAGGCCTGCCATGAATTCAAGGCCAGCCTGGGCTACATAGTGAGACCCTGTCTCAAAAACAAACATACCAAAAAAGCCCACCAAAATTAAAAATTTGAAAAAGGCTGGGGATGTAGCTCAGTGTGAAGGCCCTGGGTTCAACTGCCAGTACTGAAAAACAAACAGGATTCACATTATCATTATATTAAAGAACCAAGCCCATATACATAAACTATCAAAAAACAATAGTTAATGTTATTCTGGGTTCTAACTCTGTTACTTGGCAAATCTCATGTCAGCTGACACAGTGATGACTAAGTAATCTTGGTGTGCACTATAAATTATGGCAGAAAGTTGCCACTAAATTCCTTGCAAGGACAATCTTAGCAATGATTGATAGCCTACTTCTTATAAAGTAGTATCCATAGAGAGCATACATAATAATTATAGACAGGATTAACTGAGAAAATACCCCAGTGGCTGGCAACTCCAAATCAAACAGTTTACTAGGGTGATATAAAATATGTATTTATCATTTGGAGAATTTCTGATTTTTAGAATTCAACTCAATTTACCTCAATTATCAATATTGGCAAACTGATTAACACAAACATGATAATACAGTATAAACACAAGTTTGTAATACATGTTAACATATATGTGATGAACACATGATAACACGTTGTGACGGGTTAACATAATACATGTGATAATTGTTATCACACCATTTTGCTTTAGAGCAAAATGTCCACATTTATAGAAACATTACAGCTCATTATTTCTTCTGGGTAGCTGAAATCCAAGTCTGAGAGTTGCTGATATTAAGTTAAAACTTCACTTATAACTGCTATAAATAACATCCTAAGACAGCTAAATAGCCTTAAAAATTTACACAATATCTTGAACGTTACATGCTACACTTGAGTTCTGCAGTCTTGCTTCAGAACTAAAGAGTATTAGTTATTTTCTGTTCCCCTCTGAGGTGCTGGAGGTCAAATCCAGGACCTCAAGTAAATAGGCACACACTATAAATATCAGTTTTTAAGTAAAATAAGTGATAAACACGGGGGCTGGGGATATAGCTCAGTGGCATAAGCACCTGCTTGGCAAGCGCAAGGTCGTGAGTTTGATCCCTGATACCGCAAAAAAAAGATAAACTAAAATATCTTTAACTTTAATAAGCTAATGAGTTAACTAAGTTAATAAGCTTATGGACTATAACATTAATCAAACATAAATCTTTTGTCCAAGTACAATTATGAGCTCAAATATGAAGTTTAAAAATAAACATACTTACATCTGTTTAAGAAATTATCTATATTCTTATTTTTTCTCAAGGCGGGAAAATCCAAATCAAGGACCAACGAATTTAAGCCATCCTGTTAAAATAAAAAGACAGTTTTTATAATTTCTAAACATTCAAAAAAAAGTCTTAAAACTTTACTGCATATGTTCTCTCTGAATAGTTGCTCACCCACCCTGCAACACTCCAGGAAGTCTCCAGGTCTGGACCTTGGCCAGCTCCTAGACTCAACCTGGAGTGCTGGGGTTGCAGGGCTGGTGTCCTGGCAGAGCACTGATGTAGCAGACACCATGCAGAGAGCTCAGGCCCAAGCAGTGCCAAATAAATACATGCTTTCAGCACGAAGAAAGGAAAGCGAAATACAACTACACTAATTCTTATTCATTTAACAAGCATTAATTTTGTGCCTACAAAGGGAAAAATGCAAAAATAAATAAGACATTATCCTATCCCAGGGATCTCAGCCTCAAAGCCAAATATCCTCTAAAAATCAGGAAAAAAGGATGCTGCTCTACTGGATTTCTGTTTTCTTCTTTAGGTTTTATGTACTTTTTAGATTTTTTTAAATGAGCATACATTAAATTTATAGTCAAAATATGAAAAAGTATATATACACAACTTGGTGGAGATGAAAAAACAAAACTCAGGGTTACAGAATCAACACAGGGAAGTCCACAGCATTCCTGCACACCAATAATGAACCTGCTAAGAAAAAGTCTATCTTTCCACTTTGTTGATTGTTTTGTTTGTTGTGCTTTTTAGCTTGATACAGTCTCATGTGGTGATTCTGATATTATTTCCTGTGCAACTGAAGTTCTATCTAGGAAGTCTTTCAGGTGTTTCCGTTTTATCTTACAGCAGTTTTAAAGTTTCTTTGAGAAAATTAAATACTGCATGTTTTTCTATGAGAAACTTAAAGTATAAATAAGTAAGTAAATAATAAAATAAAAAAGAAATGAGGGGGTGAAGGAGGGAAAGGTAGGAAAAGATTTTTTTAAAAAGAGAGAAACAAGCCTGTAACCAAGATGATTGTAAACTGCATGAATTGCAACATGTACTAATTTAAAAAAAAAGAAAAAAGAAAAGAAGTAACAGGAAACTAGAAGGTAGATTCTTGGTGATGGGGAAGGGTGGGGAGCGGGGTAAAGGGATTGAAAATGATCAATATGTTATATGCATGTGCCAATTCCCCAAAATGAACATTATTATTCTATATTACAGCATGCACTTCTAAAACGGGGGAGCCCTAACGAGAAAATAACTGAGCCCCAGATTACTCAATGGATACGCTTGTGGAGCTAACAGAATTCCTAAAATATTATTGTATATATTATCTCACTGCCAAGGAATTGAGGCCAAAAGGGAATATCTTCATTTTAGAGATAAAGAAACAAACAAAGGCTCAGAGAAATGAAGTGACCGACTTGCCTAAAGTCACGCTATGAGGAAACAAGAGCGCAAGGTACAGCCTACATCTTACAGGCCTAATGTACTTAGTGCATTTCACAGCCTCAATAGTCAGGCGGACACTCTCCTAACAAAAGAAATAACTGTAGCTTGGAAGAAAATAGATCACAGGAATCAAAACTGCAAGAAAAAGACACCTGTGGGGCCTGGTGAGGGAAAATGTGGCAGCAAGTACCCGCAAAATTTAGACAACTTGAGATTTTAGTTTACTAAATCTAGAATAATTCTACATGCTGTTTATCAATTTTCATATTTAAAATTTTCATGCACTAAGTGAAAATATTCATTTTATATGGTATTAATAATAGAAAGTAATAAAATTAATCTTGATTTTCCTGAAATGAAAAGAAAAAAACAATACTCTAAAAAATAAATATCCAATTTCCAATCAAGTCAGGACTGTTAAATTCTTACTGGGAGATACCCTCTGCTGCCCTTTACCCACTAAGTACTCCCTTCCCTGAGCAGTTGAACTGCTATTCAATGGGGCCAGCATTTGAGGACACTAAGCTATTTTTAAATGCTTTAAAAAAATCACTACACCTTTAATAGTCAAAGACAGGTGTATTCATTTAGAAAGCACTTTTCTATATCTCTCCTAACTTTTTTTTTTTTGGTCTTTCTGAAACAAGGTCTCGCTATGCAGTTCAGGCTGGCCTTGAGCTCACTTTGTAGCCCAGGCTGGTCTCAACCTTGCATCAATTCTCTTGCCTCAGCCTCCCAAGTGCTGGGATTACAGGATTGCGCCACCACGCGTGGCTTACCTATCCTAACCTTGATAAGAAGAAAATATTTAAATCTACAAGACAAAACCTATTCTAAGAATAAATCTTCATCAGAGATCTTCCAAACAAAGGGAATATGAATAATTCATACCAAAATGCTAAAAGTAACTATCTTGAAATCTGTTTACACAGAATGAAAACAAAAGAAAGGTTTCTTTGAAGCTTGATATCAACAACTGGACTGAATCCTTCCTTCCCCATATCTTTTTAGAGAAGTAAATAATCAAGAAAAAAATCTGAAAATAATTTACAATTACTTCCCCATAACATACCTCACTAGCGTAAAGTCAGAGAACTGTTTTAGCATCTGGAATGTTTGAGCAAATTGTTCATGTTGTTTTTAAAATCATTTCTTAAAGACCCAACTCTATTTCAATTGTTATTTATTGTGGATGTAGTATACATTTTAGTGACTGCATGGTACTTGGATCTATAAGTAATAATATATACAATTATAAGCTTAACTGAGGCATTATGAAGTTTTATCACGTGAATGTATTCTACTTAGTTTCACTTCTTAAGCACTACACACTGGCTTGTTTTTAGCCGATGAAGTGAACACTGAGACCCACTCACCAAGCCGGGGTGCAGGCCGTGTCTGTGACGTTCCTTCTCAGTGTACCTTCCAGTCGAAAACCAGCAAGACCAGACAGAATGAAAAGGGCCTTCATGAGACAAGGCACCGAAACCAGACTGACTGTGGGAAAGCCCGTATCTAGGCTGAAAAATCTCATCTTGAGAACAAAACAAAAGACAAGAAAATAACTATCCAAATCTTTATACCAACAGCCTAACTAGATGGTTCAGGTATACCTTTCAATCAAACAGGGAGTTAAATCCTGGCTTGCTCAGATACCAGAGCTCCTCTACCTCTAATATTGCTGGTTAAGGTTGGGAGTTAGCGCTCTTGCTGGAACTGACTTGGTAAGTGGTTCAGAATCCATGGAAAGCAGAGCGGAGAGTGCTCTCCAACTGTCCTTTTAAAAAACATGCACAAACCAACGCTCAACTTCTCCCAGTACAATAAGGGGTGAGTAGGTGCACGTGTGTATGTGTGTTTATTTTTCTAACTTTTCCAGAACACAGAACTTTTACACTTCTGCTGTCAAGAAGGAATAAGGTATTGGATTTAGTTTCTCTTTCACTATATACCACTTCTAAATTCAGCACAAGTTACCTTTTAGCTAAAATGTTTATAAATATGAGTTTATAGTAAAACTAGCAAATAGGCAGTATCTAAAGCTACAAAGTGGGATAAAAACACCGAAGGTGTGGGCTGGGTGTAGCTCAGCAGTGGAATGCTTGGACCTTGGGTTCAATCCCAAGCACCAAAACAAAACAAAACAAAAAATCACCAAAGAGCGGCCAAAGACTATAGAAAAGGATCAAGGTCCATGTCCTAGGAAACATGGATATGAAGACTCAGGAAGGAAGGGACTAAGAAGAAACAACGAGTAAAGTAGGAAGAAAGTCAAAACTGCGGTGCTGCCCTGGAAGCTACAAAAAGAGAAGGGAGCAAGTGAGAATGGGCAACAAGTCAGTCTACTACACCGGCCACATCAATCCAGGACTGGAGAAGTTAGCTACTCAAAGGGTATCAATGACTTTTCTAAGGACTATTTAGGTTACAAATTTGTTGCTTCCAAATCACTGTTCACTGCCTTAATACTAAGGTTTCAATTCAATTGCTACACTTTTATTTTTGAAAAACCTCTTTAAGATGTTACTGTGTATTCACATTCTTAAACCACAATAACACTTCCCTTCAATATGACCATAAATTATGTGTCTTACACTTTGTAGTCTATTTACCAAAACCTGTAAAGAAATTACACAGGTCAATCCAGCACTTAAGACTAATGACAGGAACTTTCTTAATTACTTGGTGTCATGTACAGTGCAAAACACCACACGTATAAACATTCTGACCCCCACAGTAACAGATGAACTAGATATACTACTGTCTCACAGCAGTAGCCATGGAAACTGAAGCTGAGATTAGAAAACCTCCCCAAGCCAAGTGTTGAAAGCTAACAGAATCAGGGTTTTATAAGGCTTTTATACTTCACACATTACTGAACCTAAATTCAATAAAGTTACTCCTGTAGTAGAATACTAAACAACATACAGGTTTAAAGATGAGACAACCAAAGAAAATACATAGTTGGCTATACAGCATAGGAAACATTTTTGTGTATCTTCTATATGGATGTTTTGACAGCAGAAGTATGTTAATGAAATAACAGGCAGTACAGTAACTTTTTTTTTTAGAAGACAGGGTCTTGCTATATAGTACAGGCTAGGCTTAAACTCAATACATAGCCCAGGGTGGCCTTAAACTTGCAGTGATCCTCCTGCCTCAGCCTTCTGAGTGCCGGGATCACAGGCATTCATATTTACCACTACTAACCCTTACAGGGATAAGGGTATCAAAGCCTTGCTTAAAAAGAAAGCTGCCTTCCCCTGCTCCTTGTCCTTAGTCAGAGCGGAACTTACAACAAGCTCTCATTCCTCCCACCTTTGATCAAAGCCCCATTCCCTAGAGGCCTCACAAAAGCATTTTCATTTTGGCATCCCTGTATGTAGGTGCACATGGTAGACAGAGAAAGTAGAAATGAAGAAATGAATGTAGAAAGAAATAATCTGATACACAGATGTGTCCTGTACAGAAATGATGAAATAAAACAAGTCTGATAATTAAGAAACATGAGTCATACCATCTTGCTTCTGCCATTGTGACCCTAGGCGATAACTTTACCTCATTTTTGGCTGCTAAGCAGAGATACCAGCCTATAAAATCATTCTAATGAGCGGTTCTCCTGAC